AAAAAAAAAAACCAAGGCGGTGGTGCTTTTTACTGAATTTCATCTGTGAGTGTTCAGTCATTTGGTTTCATTTAAATGTAAATTTGAGCAGTGAGCAGTACTGCATTGGCACACTGTTAGCAGACCCGAGCTGATGATGGATTTTTATGACTGCGAGGAAAATACACAGAACCTCTGTCGCTTCCAGATTGGCTGCTTTCTCTCATTGGGCGGTCCAATGGTGGAGTTTGGCGGCTAGACAATGTCACTGCTAAAATTAGATTGTTGCTGCTAAAACTGCATTGCATGTGTGTGCAATCATTTAAATTCAATCTAAATACTTTAGCACAAGGCAAAAAAATATTTATGTTTATATGCACAGTTCTAATCATGCCACAGTGAATTTTTCGATGTCCATCTGCTCAAGTATACACCATTCTTATACACAATGCACAATCAAATACTTGAACAACTAACATTGAACAATACTTGAACAAACATTGGCTGTCTTTTGGACCAAGTGCCAACTGTAGTCTTAACAAACTTACATACAATATATGTTAGCAATAACCACATTAACTACATAAAGCATAGTATGATTCCCATTGAACTAAAGGATTTACTTGACATTTAAATTTGAAATTATTGTTTTAGTCTGACTGAAATTTTACTTTTGCATGTAGTGCATGAAAATGTACTTTATGAATTAGAAAATTAGACCAAAAGGGTAGTCACTTTGCTGCCATATTTTTAAGTGTATGGCAAAAGTGAAAAACTAATAATGAGGATCATCTGCAGAGAGATCTAGCTGAAAGTGATTTGATAAAGGCCATGTATTGTCATATCACAGATCTTCATATTCTTGCTGAGGTACATGTATATGCCTGTGTGAGAATGAGAAAACACTGCAAACATACCTTTTCAATAGTCAGACTGAATTAAGGCACCTCCGCCAACTTATAACTTTAAGATCATCTATGGAGTCATATCTATTTTAGCTTTATTTTTTCAAACTTGTGCTAACAGCCCTTAATTTACTCACAGTCTGTGCCGCCTTCTGCTAGAGAAAAAAAGGCTAACCATGCATCGCGTGCCATTGTGTGGAATCCATGGGGCACACATGCTCGACTGGATGCATTGAGGACCCTTTTAAAGTTTCATATAGGCCCCATTGGGCTTGCTGAGAGCAGTGTAGCACGCAAGAGGTCTCAGTTCCTCAGTTGCACTCATTGTGAAGATATGATGTTCATCCACACTGATCTCTGAACAGCGAAATCTGACAAGCTTCAAGACATCCCAGACAAAAATAGCAAGCTGCCGTGGCTTAAAAGCTGACCTTCTGTACATCTTACACAGGCTTAAGGCATCTCCAGTCTTTTGTGACAACTGGATCATTTAAAAAAATAAGTTTTAAAAATAAGATTGAAAAGATCAATGTTTGATCAAATATTTTTTATATTTGTTATTTTTTTATATTAAGTTTACATTTATATAAATTCATATTTTAAAAAGTTTTCCATGAACATTGGACCCTGCAATAATGATAGTAATAATAATAAAAATAATAATAATAAATGTGTTTCTATTAAACATGAATAATATAAAACATGTAATAGGCAGCTACACCACTGACAATACTAATACCTTTCTTAAACTTACTCATCACATTTTCCATTACATATTATTATTATTATCATTATATTGTTATTGTTATTATTTTGTCTATAAATAAAATACAAAACCTTTAAATTACTATAATTACACAACAACCATCACATCACCTGACAGTCCATCAGCTTCACCTTAATCCACACAAGTCAAGTGTACAGCATGTAAAAAGGCAGCAGGACAATACTGCCGAACACTGCATTTCACTTCATGTTATCTTAAGTGATGTTAGAGTAGAGTCAGCTCACAAACTGATGTCAGTACAAAGGAGTAGGCTACTTCACTTCCAGAATGAAAATTCTGTCATCATTTACACAACCTCCACTTGTTCCAAACCTGTATGAGTTTATTTCTTCTGTTGAACACAAAAGAAGATGTTTTGGAAAAATGGTGTATCCGAACAGTTGATGTGCACCATTGACTTCCATAGTAAGAAAAAACAAATACTATGGAAGTCAATGGTGCCCATCAACTGCTCGGAAACTAACATTTTTCAAAATCTCTTCTTTTGTGTTCACCAGAAGAAAGACACGGATACAGGTTTGGAACAAGTGGAGGTTGTGTAAATGATGACAGAATTTTCATTCTGGATGTGAACTAGGCCTACTCCCTTAAATAATAGCTGCATTTAGTGAATTTAAGTGTCACAATAATAACATTTGGTACACGTGAGTTAGAAAGAGAGAGGGATTTAAATATATGGCCGCCTGTTGAATATGGATGGGCTTTCTATTAAAACGCTTAATGTACTCCAGCTCTTCTTCTCCATTTGTTCAGTTTTTGTTTGTTTGTTTTTGTTTTCCTAACAAACCTGGCACGGACGGTGTGGAAAATCTGCTGCTCTCTTTCAGAACAGAAAGTTACAAACTGTCCATTTCAGTTTCTGCCAAAACACCATTAACAACACAAATGCTCACTTGGTAGCTCTATATACGTATTAAAAACTGCGCTGTCAGAGTCTGTCGTTAAATATAAATAGATAAAGATAAACTCTTAACGCCACCGCGTGCAAGAGCGCGTGGGCAAAGCGGGAAATCGAACAGGTCTCATAAGATTCGATCCAGTATAAAAGTTGAACTAATGACAACAGGATATTTAGTGCGCTTATAACACTGTAAATATCACAACGTATTTTCTCCCACGTACAGCTCTTACCTCGACCGCTGGCGCGCGTTGCACACAGCGCGAGAACCAAGATGATCTCCAAAAATTGCCGACGTCCCTTCACAGTACTTCCCATTTCTATTCTGTTTCTCTCTGTCTTGACAGTTCCTTGTGTTTTACTCTAACGGTCTCTCTCACTTTAATGTTCTGACTTCTCTCTAAAACCTCAGCAGACATCATTCCTTTGCACCGAACTTCAGACACCGCATCGGCTTGTGCTCTGCTTGAAGAGCCTTGTACTAGTGCACTGAGACTTGCAGGTGCCGCACGCTGACTAGCCGAACCAGCCAATGGTGCATCGTGGTGAGCGGAGTCACGCATCAGTACCAGTCAGGTGGGAATTTTTTATTTTTTATTTTTTAATTAAACATTCGTTCAGAAATACAAGTGTGACAGAACGTATGCCAAGGAAAAGAGTCAGAGGTTCAAGGATGACCAAACAATATACATCAATTACAAATCAAAAGAGAAAGAGTAGAAAAATAAATAAATAAGTAATTGAGAAAAAATAAGATAAATAAAATAAATAAACAGATCACACAACAAAAAGCATACTCTTCCCTCAAAACATAAATAATTATCAGATAAAAAATTATACAAAAACACCAAAAAGTGAGCATACATTCAAAGTTTTAGTTGCCTTTTTGTTACAGGAGGTAGATAAAGATTTAATATACATTTTAATATCTTCTTGAAAGTAAGAGAAGTGGAGGGTAACTTTCATAACCTTGTGGATTTGTGGATTAAAATATTTTGCAAGCAAAATAATTAAGTTGCAGAGAAAGTAAACATTTCTGTATTGCTTCTCAAAAGTGAAAATTCCAAACAAAACATCCTTAAAGGGGTCATATGATGCTTTTTTTAAAGATCATTATTTTGTGTATTTGGTATAACAGAATGTTTTGACATGCTTTCATGTTCAAAAAACACATTATTTTTCAAATACTGTACATTATTGTAGGTCCTCTATGCCCCGCCTCTCTCAAACGCTTAGTTTTCTACAAAGTCCCTCCTTCCGACAAGCGCAGTCTGCTCTGATTGGCCAGCTGACCCAGTGCATTGTGATTGGCCGAACACCGCAAGCACTCGTCGGAAATGTAACGCCCCTTACCATAATCGCGAGCTTCATCTTTCAAAATAAATGTAAAGACAGTAAATAATGTCATTAGTTTTACCATCAGTTCAAGCCCGAAAGGGGAACAGAGTCGCGTGACAGAGTTGCAGTACACAAGCCACAGTTAAGACAGTTGACTCCACTGTGATGTGACCCTGTGTCTCTCTCTCTCTCTCTCTAAGAATATCTCTTTGGTTTTGAGACTTTAGTCTTTGCAACTTCAGGGATCTTATCTATGCACAATCAGCTTGTAACACTCCAAAGAGAAAGGAAAATGTCAAATCGCATCATATGACCCTTGAAATAATCAGGACAGGAACAGGAAGACCAAATAAGGGCATAGAAACACAACACAAGACAGAAACAATGTCTAACAGTTGTAGTCTAGTCTCTGGTATCAGTAACCTAATATATATTCCACTTCCTAGCTGTTAACCAGGTGGTGCATTGAAATCATAAACAAGCGTGCCTTCAGAGACATTTTAGATTAGTTTATCATTTGTGGATGATTTGACAATCTGACAATTTCCTCAAAACAACAACATCATCAACAAAACTACACGACAATACGTAGACCACTTAATAAGTTGGCTGAATGCAAAGAGGAAACTTATTGTAATATTTGTATAGTCTAAATCTGTATAAAGTTTTAAGGGATTCAAAAAACAATTGTTTTATCTCAGCAGTAAAATGGAAAAAAGGAGTAAACTTTCTGTGCATGAATTTGATAAATGAGAAGACTGTCAAAAACACTGCCTCATTGCTCATTAAAATTTCTACCTTCTTGAATATATTGCCCATGGCTCAATTGATGCATTCCATTGTTTATTCTTACTGTATTTTCAACATTTTGGTGAAGTTACAGCTCATGCAAATGGTAGCAAAGTGGGCCAGTCAGAACCCCTCTAGAACAATGAAAAAAAGTATTTACTGATTAAGCTTACTGTTTAGAGAGCTACTTCAAAGCCCCGAAGGCTGATTCATATATTTTTATCTTCAGAGCTGTAAGTATAATGATGGAAAATGACCCCAAGCATATATTACAGCTGGCTTGTTAGTAGTATTTCAACACTATTCTTCTCTGTTTCATGCTCATGGAAGCAGTGCTTTCTGGTGCCCTACTCATCTTTACAATTTGATAAAACTGGTGAATAATACTCAACTCACTCTGTAATTCATCCTCTGAAAGATTATATTTCAGCTTACCATAAAAAGCTGAGAAAAACAAAGACGTTTCAGAGCCTGCTGGAAACTATCTTCACTGAAACAATGAAATGTAACAATGAAAGAAAGACTAGCAAGACTTTTATTGGCCTCAGCTGAACCTAGGACAACTAATTCTATATGAATCATGTACAGTTGCCACAAATGGTTCTTTCTTCTGCTTTTTAAAATTTTTTATATATTTATTTATTTTTATTTATCATGCTGTTAAACGTATGGTGCTGTCACCATGGGAACTTCCAAACAATAGGCCTATGTTGTGAGGAATCTTAATTATAAATAAGGTTTTATGAAAGGTATTTAAAGCTTGACTTGCTTGTGCATGTGCAGGACATATAGACCTGGAGTTTTGTGACATTTATTGAGTCATGACATTAACTTGATTGGTTTTAAACATGAACAAATGTAAATATTAAAATTTCCTTGCAGATATAGAAATATGTCTATTTAAATACTGACTTCTTCCTTTACTTCTACCTTTCCTCATATTAAATAAAACTTCCCTTGAAGCACCAAATTATACAAACTTCAACAAATACTCATACCAACTGTTTTTTCGTCAAACTTTATAATGCAGTTTTCCTCTGGTATAGTAAACAATGAATGCATGATATTCTTCTTTTGCATAACTTGGTTTAGAGAAAAACATTATGTTTCTAAATGCCGCCCACTATGAAAGGTTATTCACATTATACGTTTGAATTGCTTTCGCAAATGTAATATTGCCCCCTCAGGTGCATCATTTATGTCTATTGGATATGTAAATTGTTTCTTACTCAGTGCCTCTATCTAACTAAAGGGGAGATTATTGCATTATTGTGAATCTATAGCATGAAAACATAGTGTATGCTTGCACATTCCTCCATTATGGGCTATATTACACATTTTAATGCTATATGAGTATTATAATATACATTTATTTGTGCTAAGTGATTCTACAGTTCTGTAGATTTTGAGATGCTACTATTTACAGAATAAAATATTTGCTAGACAAAAAAATAAAACAAAACAAAACAAAAAACAAACAAGCAAGCAATGGAAAATGAAAGTTATTAGCCTGCATTACATTTTGATATAATACAACAATTCATACATGTTCCCATAGTTTAGTCTGACCGCATTAGGATTTTGCTCTGTTTGCACATTCCGCATATAGGCTACTGTATGTATTCACAACATCCCAGTTTTTTTGAAAGTCTAAACATCTGTGTTTTCTCTGGCAAATAAAGTAGCGGGATTTGTCTCTCTTACATGCTGGGAGCATGAAATGGGGATAAAAAAACTAGAGTGGAGTTGAGCTGGAGTAGAGTGGAATCTGTATTCCAGTGCAATGCTTGGCAACATGGATCATTTGTGCTGTGATTTCTTTTAATACCATTTTCATTGACGGATAAAAAATATATGAAATTGCTTGAGCGGTTTTGCCTGAAACATAAGTTAATCAATATTATTTGTTTATAGAGTTATACTGAATTTGCAGTCATTTTTTAGTACTAGATATATCAAAAGGGCTGTTATCTGTGGCCTTGCGCCTATAGCTGATCATGGCTGCGTTGATAATACGGCAATCGTGTTTTATAAGATATGCACTATAGTCTATAAAGACCAGATCACCACAAAACTAAATAAAAAATAATAAATAAATAAAATAAAAAAAGTAAGGCTCTTACATCCAATCATAAATGTTCACATATATAGAAAAAGTAATAAATGTTTTTGTACCATTAAATACTGAAAGAACGTGTTTAAAAAATAGAGGGAGAGGCAGTCTAAGTATTTTTTTTATATAATTTGAGGAAATCCAGCAGCTGGCAAGGTCTTTTGCTTAAAAGACCTTCAACTTGGTCAACTTGCTTAGTTGGGGACACTTCATTTCCAGCGTTATCGTTGACATGATTGCAAAGATATTATTTAAACTGAGCTGGATGTTGACATCACTGAATTCAATGATGAACTGTCTTTAACTGAAAAATTAGTGTTTACTATTGTCATTTTGCATTATTGACACTATTTTCCTAATTAATGCTGTTCAGTTGCTTTGTCACAATCTGTATTGTTAAAAGCGCAATATAAATAAATGTGACTTGACTTGACTTTAAGCAATAAACTGTTTTTTGCTGAAATTAACCTTTTTTGACAGTGTAGCAAGATTTCTCTCTATTAGATTCCGGACGCACTTCAAAAGCTACATCAAAATTCAATCATATGACCACGCATCACGCTATATAGTCATGAGCTCACGAATATTCCCACCTGACACATTTATTGTGTCGAAATTCAAATTAAACAGATGTGAACTGTACTTTTTGTGACTTGCAACCAGAGACAGTCCTGCATCTTTTTTGGCATTGTGTTCATACAAGAAAACTTTAGCAAGACATTTGCCAGTTCATTGTAAACTTCATACACAATGACTTTGAGCTTTTCTTTAAAGGGGTCATATGATGCGATTTCAAGTTTTCCTTTCTCTTTGGAGTGTTACAAGTTGATTGTGCATAGATAAGATCCCTGAAGTTGCAAAGACTAAAGTCTCAAAACCAAAGAGATATTCTTTATCAAAGTTAAGACTCTGCCACGCCCCCCTAAAACTGTTCGTTCTAACACGCCCCCACATATCTACCTCACTATGTGGAAATATTTGCTGCAAATCTTATGCAAATCTTCCCACATCGGTGACGTAGACATGTGGGGCGTGTTAGAACGAGCCATTTTAGGTAGACGTGGTTGACTCTTAACTTTTATAAAGAATATCTCTTTGGATTTGAGACTTTAGTCTTTGCAACTTTACAGATCTTCTTTATGCACCAAGAGCTTGTAACACTCCAAAGAGAAAGGAAAAATTGAAATCGCATCATATGACCCCTTTAATGTGTTTCCAGATGTTCCCCGTTGAGTTTATTGATCCCAGGTGTGTCCCTTTAGCTCCCTTAA